TATTTCACCCTAACTGTTTCCTCTAACACGCTGTGAAATCTGTTACAAATGCACGGTACTTCATTGCAATAGCCTCATGAAATCAATAACGGTTGACCATTGTTGTTTGTTCAAATCCTTACATATACAGTAAACACCATGTACAAATAGATAATCAGATGGGTGAATAGCTCACTGTACAGAGTATTGCAAAGGTTATAGATTTTGATTCTGGACCAAACTTTGCCATCTGTTGCAGGCAGGTTGATGAGTCGAATCTGAGACAGCCTTGGAGGCATTGTTTCCTCCTAAATGTTTTACCTAAAACTGAGGTCCTGATAAATTATTCTGAAATACGTTTGTTGTTGTACTAGCTACTACAGTATCCCACTAGCCTTGAAAACAGGATCGATCCTAGGCCTACCCAATCAGTCCAAAGTAATTTAAGATTTATTCCCTTGTCTGCGTTACATGATTTGCTTGTTAATGTTACGTGTTTGATGTTTTTCATCGTATGTGATTTGCTATTTGCTCGCAGTATCTTTTGTGACCAATAAGAAAACTATGTAAATGTCGTGGGCGGTGCATGCCCTGCCGTAGCCTAATTGGCTATCGTTGTCGTCAGACTCTCCTACAACTATCTAGCGCTAGGTTTTTGGCTTATTAGCCAACATGGCAAAACAAATGCATATATCTACGTTTTTCAAAAAGCCGCCTGTAGATGGCCAGACACATGAGACACATGAGATGCTACAGGCATCTTGGGTTTTAAGGAGCACAGCCTGGCTCCCCGAATACAAGTGTTTCTGGACCGCAAGGGGCAGTGCACGCGTTTGCTTGTAGCAGCTCGATACATGCTCGACCTGTAGGAGTTCAGCACGAAGATGTTCTAAAATTTCTCCTGTAAACAAATGACAAGTTTTGGAATGCATGAGTAACATTAAGATAATACTGACGGATAGATGCGAGTGTGCATTTTACAGATAACTATTCAGATCGTCTCTAACTGCCCTGCATCCAAAGTATCTATTTGACGCTTTTATTAGCATACCATTCCTGCAATTAAAGGTAGATGAATTGGTTAGCACTGTAATGTAACTATAACAATTCAGTGCCAAGTCTTGTGTGAAGTCACGAATTTCCAAAATAGGTGTATTTTGGCATCGAAAATAGAATACTAATTTCATGGGTTTCATACAAGTTTAAAAGCATCATGAAGTATCAAACAAGATCTCCAGAACTTAATATTTTAATACTTTCGCAGTTTTTATTCTCATGGCGCCTTACTCGATATTACCCTTGGGGCGATGCATTTACTCCAACCTCTGAAACCCATACGTGCGTGTACCTGCTTCTGGTATGTTATGCTCAAGTCCGCTGAATATTTAAAGGCAAAAGCTCCGTGAAGTTGCTCCGCCTACAGATAGCAAAAAAATATTAAACCCACCTCATTCGTTATTGCTTCGCTTGTGCCGGTTTGTGCCGTTGAAAGTAGCGTTTGTGCTGCTTTATCTCCCGAGATTAAGCGCCTTGTTTTTCCGGTGATCACGTGACCATGCACGGTGACTTTGACCTCCAGTGACCCCGTCTGCCGAGTTCAAGCGCGCTGTTACAACTGAGCTCGTTTTAGACATGACATGGCACATGCCAACAAGTTAATCATCTGTGACATAAACCTGTGGTTGTAATGTTTGTAAAATCACCGTGATTGTAAGATCTATGGTTTTTATTTTCAAAGGCACGTTTTCCTTTTCTTTCGCTACCATGACACGCTGTTGCCAAACGCGTAACCTTGGGATAGCGTCGCGAAAAGACCTCCGCAGCATGTTATGATTAAGGGACCCCATGTATATCGCGGCAGCGTATATCACGACTGGCGCCTTCCTTCCATGCCACTCTGGCACCACTGTCGCAACAAACGTCTTATATCAGGAGACGATATACCCAGATAGGAGGTGTTGCGATATGTGGAGTTTGTCCTATCGCAACATACAGGCTTCATGTCGTGACACGGGTGCGACAGTTTATGTCATAACGCGATATATGGATTTCATGTCACGACATGGCAGGGGTGGGCATTTTGGCCGGACATGTCATGTCGCGACATGAGCGCGGGGGCGTTTGTCATATCACGATATGTCGACTCCATGTCGCGACATGGGGGCGGGGGCGTTTTGCCGGGGTATGTCATATCGCGATATGCGGGTTTCATGTCGCGACATGGGGGGGTGGGCATTTTGGCCGGGCATGTCATGTCGCGATATAGGGCATGTCATGTCACGACATGAGCGCGGTGTCGTTTGTCATATCGCGATATGTCGACTCAGTGTCGCGACATGAGCGCGGGGGAGTTTTGTCGGGCTTTGAAATATCGCGATATATGAACTTAATGTCGAGACAGTGGCACCACGACAGTGATGCGCCAGTCACAATGGGTATCGCGATGTGATTGTGATGCGCGCACTCCAATCGTGACATGCTGTCGGAGTCGTGAACGCGCTGTGGGTGCCACAACATTCTTTGTCTACTATTCAGTTTTGACCCCAGTTCGACTTCTCTTAGATTGACCAGTAATTAGAAACCAATGGATGTGTTACTGTTACTGTATATGCAGCATGCTCATACAGCACACACGGTACACAGAATTTCCGCTGTGGCGCTTTACCCAATCAGAGTGTCGATTCTCACTCTTCACCCAATCGCGGCCCGAGCTGTTGGGGGGTTTAGCCAATCACGGGTCTGGGAGCTGTTCAAGCCAGCAGCGCCAGGTGGATCGGCTTGTTCACTGTCAAGGAGAATCTATTTTTAAAATGCTTGACGTATTTGCAAAATAAGTACATCAGCTTACTTTTTTAACGTCTTTATTGATAAACACAATGTCCCGTACTCTTCGAAATACATTTTTTTATTTGCAATATAACTGTCTCCGCTGTTTTCTGTAATGAATACATGGTATTTGAACAATTTTAATCGTATATTTAAGATAGGGGAAACACCTTCTGCTTTGTACTTAAAAAATGGATATAAATTTAAAATCTATTATCATTATATTATTATTCTCATGCGTTCAATTTTGTTTTTTATCGTTAAATTATATCGCTTTTATACCTAAACCTAACTAATACCTAAGTACACAAGCAATACATTTTCGAGAACATGGTTAAAAATTAAAAGAAAACACCTAACCCAATGAACTAACATCGTAACTCCTTCCTAAATGTAAGACTGTTCGCGTAAAGGCTGCAAAGTCTGGGATCAACTGACCATAAGATCACAACTGAAAGATTGGAAGGTCGTGACTTTACTGTTTTGTACGTCTTCAGAGTGACGTCACAGCCAGGAAAAGAAGGCGTAATATTGAAATATATTGAAACGTCTTTTTGTAGTTATCACCCAACATTTTGCCTGTGACCTTCTGACAATACTCCGACATTAGGCACCATGATTAATGATACTGGATGAACTGCTTCTTTGCAGTCTCTTTTTATACTCGGTGATAATCAAGGTGACTTTCAGAAGCTTATAAAATTGTCCAGAAGCTATGAAATAGCATAAATGACCAACAGGTGACCATAGAGCAGTGCTGTTTTACATTTACAGCATTTTCAAAAAACGTAAAGGATGTGAAAGAACGTCATGTATTGAAATTTGATAGATTAATTTGAGCAAAATCCAGTACTGATGATCTTGGACAGATTACATTTTTCCTGATTCAATTAATTTATGCAGCACTAAAAAGTGCACTTTTTGGGTAAAACCTGCTTTTGGATACATTATTTCAAGGAATAAATACACTTGGAGCTAGCTGTAAGACTTCAAATATTTACTCTAATCACTCAATATCCTGATATTAATATATAGTAACTTAGTGCCACATTTGTTTGCTGTATTATGAGCTCACTTGGTAATTATCTAAAATATAAAAATGGCAGAAGTATGGCAAGATTAAACTGAAATTGCCTACTGAAGGATCTGCTGTACTCAAGTGAAACCACTCAGGAAACTGTACACATGTACACAAATGAACATAAAATCTCATTATACACACAGATACAAACGGTGATGTGCTTCATCACTAGTCACATTAAAATAACTAAAGATATTACTCCTAAAAACACTTCACACAAGGATTTGTGATCAAAATGTTTGATGTACTTGTACTGCACTTGTACTGTCTCAGCTAAAGTGGGTCACAATATTTGATTTGTAGATTTGAGACCAAGGATGCACACATTTTGGTCAAATGTATTTTTCCCACCCACAATTTTTTAGGTAAAAACAGAATTCCAGGGTGAAATATAAGAGGTGGCCAGGTCACATAATATGTACAGTAAAAGCATCTTTCTTGTCCCCTTGTGTCTTTTTTGTACTTTCTGTCAAATGAGATGTAGTGTGACCTGTTTAATTCAAACCTGAACGCTACCTTTTAATCATACACACCACTGGCAACAGCAAAACCAGAGTGCACAAAGGAACAATACAGACTATTGTCATGAGGGTAAAATAATTAACCATAACTACTCTTAAATCATAGAATGCAGGTAATTTTCAATAGTCATAGTTCAAAAAGCATTATGATGTCGTACTGTTTGAAAAAGCAACATTTCTACTTTAGATAATTTTTTTTTTAATTATGTTTTCCTACCTCTACACAAAGGTATATTTTACAGCGAAACTGATTTTTCAGGCCTAGTCTTCTGTATTTTTTTATTTTCCGCTCTAGGGCACAGGAAGACTATTTAAGTCAATGTGAAAGGTTCTTTTAATCAATTTAACAACAATAGGAACTGGGTGATCTTTTTGTTTCTTAACTATTTGGAGAATAACAGCAATAATAATAATGAACTACAAATGGTTGTGATATTTCTTTCCTACATCCCATATGTTTAAGGGACAACACAGAAAAGGGAGAGATACTGTAGGTACTGAAAAATAATATGAAGAACACACACACAACAGTAGTAAGAAAATAATGTTAATACAAACCAGAATTCACAAACATATTTACAAACAGCACATAATTAATTTCTGGCAAAAAGATTTTATTGTACAAAGATGATTACAATATTTTATTTTGGACTATAACTACTTAGGGCCCAACATGTCCTGGGGCTTGACCCACTGATCAAATTGTTCAGATGAAAGGTACCCAAGCTTGATAGCAGCTTCTTTTAGTGTTGATCCTTCCTTATGAGCAGTCTTGGCAATGGCAGCAGCTTTGTCATATCCTAGACATAAACATATTTCAAATTAAAAGAACAATTAATACTGAGCACCTAAAGAATGTCAACACTGTGTTGATGCATGTATGTTTCTTGCAAAATAAAGTATGCAGATTTTGAATGTTGAATTGGCATGGTTTGATTAATGGATTACTCATGACCATGACATACTCGAGTGACACTGTATGCAATACTGCTAAATCACCTCATTAATAAGAGAGCTGACTTGGCAAAGGTGATGAGGCAATGTAACCTCTAGAATGTCAAGCCTGGGAAAAATCAGGAAGAAAGAAAAACGCCTGTCCCAGCAAGACAACAATGTCTTTGTGTCACTGGTATGTTGGAGGCTAAATTTAGATGCCACATGTGGACTCATGGACAGTAGAGCCCAGTCCTCTTTAATCAAGGTCTTGCACAGGCTGCCTTGATGGATGTTAGAGGGTGTGGTGTAGATATAAGCAATGATATGCTCTTTGTTGTGTACAACAAGACAAATTGATGGGGAGCTCCAAGTGTGATTGTCTGGGCTGGAGAGTTTTGTTGCCACACTACAGCTTGCAGTTGGGCTGCCATCAGCCACTTCACAGCCTTATCCTTCTCTAGCCCTGGGACCTTCAGGCTCTAACATGACAACGTTCTGAGCTTCCTCACGCTGACTAACAACGGCATTCTTGCAAGATGAGAGAATTGTCCCGAGACAAGACAGACACCAGTCAACAGGCACATGCTTGTCCAGGCTCTGCAAAAGCAGTGGGACACAATCCCACAAGACATCACCGGAAAACTGGCGCACAACATGTGTTGCAGATGTACAGCTTGTATTGCTGTATTAGATGTTGTGCATCTTCCAATTATAGCTATGCACATCACTAGCTTTTGAGGCCTATTACTAAATTTTATTATTAAATGACACTATGCAAAGTACAGAAATCACATCCTAATTATAAAACAACAAAAATGGAAGGGATTTCTCTAAACTGAAAGACTAAAGATTACCTCCTAAGAAAACCTTAGGACAATAGAAATAATGACTGTAAATAGGATTTATCTTCAAAGCACACTTGAAGAAGGTCCTATTGTACTGAAAGGCTAGGACTAATTTGACAAGAACAAGGTGCAGATTATTCAACCAAAAGTTGCCCAGTTTTAACAGAACTTACTCTGCTAGGAGTCTGTTTTGTGATCACATCTTTGTATTAATTAATATAATTCGGCAGACATCAAAGTAGCCAAGTTCTAACCATAACACAATATGCAGATTCTCAGTCAGTAATAAACAAAGACATGTGATTCGTATTAAACTGTATGTTGTATATACAAGAGAAGTTTTGCATTTAATACAAAATACAAAAGCAGTTTTACTGCCGATTACCATTATCAAGATTTTAATTCAATTTCCTGTCTTACCTGGGTTTATTTTTGTTTCATCAAGGTACTGTACAAAGTACATTTGTCCCAAGCTGCACAAGGCCATGAAAGACCATTTTAAAAATATTGACTTTTTTATTGACATGTTCAGATTGTACTGTTGAGTTCACAAGTCAATTTTCAATTCTGTCAATGGTGACCTGCCATTTCATTTAACCTACAGCAGCACCATAAAGTACAAACCAATATCAACTGATCCATCAGCTGCTTTACAATAAAGAACCAAAATACAGTTTTACATTTAATGTTACTACAATACTAGCTTTAGTATATTCTGACACAAGTACTATATATCCTTTTTCTTCAGCGCTTTATTGTCTGACAAGCAATGCTCCATGATGACAGCAGAGTACAGCACTGCAGGAGTGATTCAGACTGCCAATGTATCTGTGAACATAATACCCATACCATTCAAATTTAGCCCCTTGAATCACCTGAGACCAGCAAATGAGAGATTTAGCCTGCCAAGGTGTCCAGTAGAGCAATCTGATTATTATAAACCTGCTCTGCCATCAGGCTTTGAACAGCTGTTGGTTCCTAGGGAGATACTTATTTTAATGCTTTAGCCTCAACAGGGCAAGCATTTAATACATAGATGCAAATTTCAGGTCACTTTTTCATTATTTCATTAACATTCAGGCACTCAAAAGAGCATTCAGCATGTTAAGAGCTGTTCTACAATCAATCCGTCATCAGCCACCCAGAAAGAAGACAGCTGTTGTGGGAAAACAGGCACACTTGTCTCAGACATTCAATTATTTGCAAGTCTGATTAGAGCCATCAATCAGCATTAATACTTATTGGCACTGTGTTCCACCCCCCTCACCTCTCTTCCAGCCTGTGCCGACACTACAAATCACAGACACAAGCCCTAGCAATGGATTAAGACAATTTTTGTTTTGTTTCAAATCTATATCCCATAAATGTTACCTTATGAACAGTTCCCTCATCACAACACCACTGATAATGAATCAGTAAGCTTGCTAGTCAATGACAGCTTGAGTGTATTTAAATAGCTAAAACTAAGTGCCCAGTGACAGAAAAACAACAGACCCATTTGTGTCAATTACCATTTCAAACTGCAGAATTACTGTACAGCACATTTCATAAATTAGGTGTTAAGGATTTTATTCTAGAATAAGCAGACCTGTAATAATACAGACATTTAATAAAGACAGGTAATATCCTTCTAGTTGCCATTCAGCTCTGCATGTATGGCATGCCTGGGTTAGTTGTGAGTGACTGCCCTCTGCTGGCACCGATGATCTTACCAATGTGTGGATTCAGTGCCGTCACCAACATCAGGGACTCGCTCATCAGCTTGTTGATCCTCTCCGTGTTTGCCTGAATCCCCACAACACAATTCTCGGTGAAGGAGACAGAGGCATCTCCCAGCAGCTTTGCAGAGTTCAGCATATTTTTAATCTGCGAACAGAGATTGCTAATCATGATTCAGAATCGCCTGGAACTAAACAGAATTCTCCAAGCTGTGCAAGTTTCACATTTGCTATGATTCATTAGCTCAGTCTGTTCATTCATAATTTATCAAATAAAAAAAATAGGCTCTGGGCTAGGTCTTTCAAAAAAGTCGGCATTTTGGCATTATCTATAATCTCCTTAGGAAAGTGCTTCTTGAGTTCAGTTTTTAGCAACTCTAAATCTCTCAAACAAAAAAACAATGCATATTCAATAAAAACAGGAAAATCACCACAAAAGAGTTGTTCAGTTTTATTCCTCTCCTCTCCTAAGTACAGTTTTAAAGCCAACTGGTCCACACTTTAATGACTTTAATGGTCTTGGAGGTGTCAGTGTCTTCTGCTTTTTGTTCCAATCTTTCCAAACACTATTTAAGTGAAAAGTCAATTAAAAAATGTAACTATTTCCATAGATGCATATGTTTACGTTCTGATAACTTAAACACCCACTGAAAAGTATTACAATTATGCAGTTAACTAAACAATTAATTAATAAAATAAAGTTCAATTACTGTATATAGCTGAGAGCTGGGATGACACACAAATCAAGAGGGACTAGGCCCTCCAGGAATTGAGTGTGATACCTGTCTCAGGTGTTTGCTTCCTGCACTAGTGTTGTTTCCACACACTGAGACTTGTTATAGAGACACTTTTCAAAATGATTAAACATAAACAGCTTTAAATGTTATATGTTTCTAAAAACTTCATAATTTAATCATTCTGTTTATACTCATTATTATTGTGATACTTTGCAGCATAATCTCTTTCATTGTGTACTATTATTTGTTTACTTTATAAAAAGAGTACATTAGTTAACATTAAAGACATGTTTACACTTATTTCTTCAAAGCAGATATTCAAATTGTTCACAGCCATTGAGATTTCATCACCTGCAGTTTCGGAATAGTACTGTCTACGAGGTGGCCAATGGTTTGACAAGACGAATAACAGTCAGATACTGCATGCAGAACCATTTCATGTGCCCGTCTTCTGACCTAACTTACCATCATAGGTTTGAAAACATTCAGCTCAAAGTGCCCATTGCTGCCTCCTATCGTAACTGCAACATGGTTTCCCATCACCTGAGCTGCTACCATTGTCATGGCCTCACACTGTGTTGGGTTCACTTTTCCTGAAAATGAGAGGAGCAAAGGTTCATGCCCTGATATTGCACCACTGAACGCTGATAGATGGGGCAATTCCAAAGCCTTGCAGCTGTACTATCCACTCTTGGTCCTTGGGGATGGGGAAGCGTCCATGTTTTAAATCTACACGGTCTTTGGTGACCTAATTCATAAAAACTGAATCCACAATTTTAATTATTAAGGACCTTATGCCTTACGTTGCCTGGAAAACCTGCGTAACTGCAAATATCCAGTACTAGGAATGAGCAAAAAGTTTCAAGTAGAAAGCAATTCTACTACACTGCGGCTGTATTTAGGATTTTAATTTCAAAGTCTTTTGATGGAGTTGGCATCTTAATATGAATTAGCTAATACAAAAATGACTTAAGCTAATACAACAGTAACAATCTGTGATTAAGTATGTCAGTGATGTACCAAAGTTACATCCATTCCACTGAGACTCATTTGTCATTTAAGAACTTGTCAATATCCCAAAAAAGAAATAAAAATAATTCCAAGGTAAAGTGAACAGTTTGTTTTTCTCCTCTCCAGAACTAATTGCTTGCAGTCAAGCTGAAAGTCTATTAAAGAATCAAGTAAAATATTCAAATAAGACCAAATAAGATTTTACACTAATTGATTTCAATTTAGTGGCCACAAATTTACTGGCCTGTAACTTACAGTATTCTCAGTCTGTTCAATAACAGACAACCAATACAAAAAATATTATTTTCTTGATAATTTAAAACTACTGCCGCAGTGAACTGTAGAATTATAAAATTATAATATGTAGCAGGTTTAGGTGATATATTTCCTTTGATGACAGCATGGTTCAGGAATAATGCAATAAAATAAACTAAATCTTTCAAGTAACCACTCTCTGGTTGTGATAATGCACATCACCCACCATCATGCTCTCTGCTTCCATAATGAGTGTGTCTTTAAAGAGAGATCAAGAAGGAAAAGAAACCTCAGATGAAATCTGATCCAATTGGCAGAGTGGTCTTGACAGCTGCTCACTGTGATCACAACAGTCCCCTTACTTATGAACTATTAGAGACTGACAAAGGACATAGATTTATGTTTATGTTCTCTCAACGTTTTTGTATTTAAACAAATGTATGGAATTTGCTATCCATATAGCATGAAATATTTGAATGTGTTAAAAAATAAGTTGTCTTTCATACTAAACCCATACTTTTACAATAAAAAATAGAGAGAAATTAAACTTGTATTAATGTTGGTGTATTTGAACATTTTCAAAGTGAGGAAATGCAGAAATAAATTTGGGCTACATATCCAAAAAGCTTTTAAGTGCCAAGTCCCCACTGCTTTAAATAAGGAGCTAACTAACCCTGTGTTCCCAATATACTGTAGGTTACATTAACTATAAAGAACAGGATATAGAGGAGCGAAAACTCTTATGGGATGTGCAGCCTAGATCGGGCTCATGCAGTACTGTAAAACAGGGACAAGTTTAGTTAAGGCAGCATACCTGGCATAATACTGCTGCCAGGTTCGTTTTCAGGGAGGATGAGCTCCCCCAGCCCAGACCGAGGTCCAGAACCCAGGAAGCGAATATCGTTGGCGATCTTCATCAGACTGCAGGCCACAGTGTTCATCGCCCCGCTGAGTTCCACCAGTGCATCATGGGCTGCCAGTGCCTCAAACTTATTGGGCGCAGTCACAAATGGCAACCCTGGACAGGAAACAGGATATCAGCGCGTGCGTGCACGGTTCCTTCGTTTGCACCTGTCCTATCAGGACTAACGGATGCTTAATATGCTTCAGAAACTAGTCCAAGAGACACAAGAAAAATCATTTAATATATAGTGTAAAAGTGGAAGAGTTAAACAATAGCAACAGAACCAGGAGGAAAGATGCATGCTTTCCAAAAGTAACTGAGCTCTGTGATCGTATAATAACGAGCTCCCAGAGCCAGAGAAGCTACTAGGAAAGGATATGTGTGAATAATTATTGTACACTAAAACAGTAGGAGGCATTGTGTATCATTTGAGCACATTTATATTGGTCTCCCCTTAATATCTGGTAACATACTGTCTTCAGATGGCTGATTTTGTGCTTCGCATCCATGATTTAGGCCCTTCATTTAAATCCATTTTTGTTGTTATAAGAGAAGGATCTTTGAACCTTCAGCCCTGGACAGGTGAGCACATTAAACACTACATATTAACTATGCACCATACAACCATTTTAGTAATGAGCAAGATATCAAGGTAGACATAGCCCATGAAAGAAACATATGGATGTCTGTACAGTATGTGTACACATTTTATTTCCTGCAGTGCTATCAATGCATTAACAGTGTAAGCCCCTTTCTGCTTGCAGTAGCCTCTACAATGGTGTTTACAGACATTGTGCACATTTCCCTTCCCTATCACAAACCAAATCTTTTTCCTTTAATAGAACCATTTCAAAATTCTTTCAGCCAATTTTTACTCAAGCAATTTCCCCACTGGCAGTTACTAAACTGTGCTTCTCATGGCCTTAAAAATGTATCGAGCGGCGGAGAAAAGGACTCCACTCTTCTCACTTACCTGTAAGAGCTGAAACTCTTTCTGCCACCTTCTCAGCAAACCCAATGCGAGTGTTCAGGCCAGTGCCTACTGCCGTGCCACCTGCTGCCAGCTCATACACTCTGGGCATGGCAGATTTAATCCTTTCAATGGCATATTTCACCTGCTGCACGTAGCCACTGAACTCCTGTAGAGAGCGGGGGGAAAGGTGAATAAAAACTCCTCACAAACCTCCAAGTGGTTTCAGATTAGGAGCACATCTATTCCTTTGGACTAACAACCAATTTTAACCAACATCACTTACGACGCATCCAAGTTGATATTACCTCTTCCTTTGCAGAAGTTTTTTTTCATATAATACTGAATTTAAGAGTATAAATTAAAAAAAAAAATTTCCTTCAAAACAGAATTACAGAAGATGCTAAAATCTGGTGATGTGGAATAGTCCAATTATGTATAAAGTCATTTATAGCCTATCACCGCTAACATAAAATGTTTTTTTTCTGTTGAATAAAAGCACTGGGTATAGTTTATTAGTAACCAATTTCATAGCCATGAATGCGAATTCAACTGCTTCCAAGAGTGTGCTTTTCAAATCTTTGTTATACTACCTAACTGTCTATTAGTTTAATACAACGTGTTTAATGCAACAAGAATCAGTACAACAGTACCTGGCCGAGTGAGAGGGGTACAGCATCCTGAGTGTGGGTGCGTCCAATTTTAATGATGTCTTTAAACTCCACAGCTTTGGCTGCCAGCGCGTCGTGGAGAGCCTGCAGCCCGGGCAGCAGAACTTCGTGGGCCTCCTTGGCGGCGGCGATGTGCATGGCAGTGGGGAACGTGTCGTTGGAGCTCTGCAAAGAGCAGCCACACCAACACCACCAGCTCAGGAAACGCTCTCATTCGTTAGAAACGCTCTCTGTTCCGCATACAGGCACAAGCTCGCTGTGAGCCACCAAAACATCCGGGATATGACACCCATTAAAGTTGCGAAATCGTCACTCAAACAGAATCCAGAATTTAGAGGGAGAGATTGCAAAACTATTCAAATAAGCCATCCAAAGGCTCTCACATGAGGGCTGTGGTGCTCTGTGTTCAAGGGTTAAGAGAAGTGCAAACCTGGCTTTTATTGACGTGGTCATTGGGATGCACAGGGTCCTTGCTCCCCAGCTTCCCTCCCAGTATCTCGATCGCTCGGTTGCTGATGACTTCATTCACATTCATGTTGGTCTGGGTCCCAGAGCCTGTCTGCCACACCACCAGAGGAAAGTGCTCATCCAGCTTCCCAGCAGTGACCTTCGAAACATTCGTTCAAACAGAGTACTGTAGGTACAGCAGGGCCTCAACATTCACAAGGGTTCGGTGCAGAGAACCGAAGCAATCAGCCAAACTTTCATTTTAACCAAGTCTCTCCCTTGTGAGTGAGAGGCTCACTCACTCGCTAGACGCGTCTCACTGTCCCGGTCTGTTGCAGCCAACTGGAAAGCTGCGCTTGACAACTCTCTGCTCAGTTCCACCCCGCTATGATTTTCTTTCATCCGAGATGCCATCGGCCAAAACAAATTGCGAATAAGCAAATTCGTAAATGTTTAAATTTGCAGATGTCAAAATTCTACTTTATTTCAAGAACATGAAAAACAACAACAACAAAAGGGATATTCATTGCCCTGCAACAATAGCCAAAAGCATACATCTATAAAACAACACTGGATGTAACCATGCCATGAGTTGCACCAATGGCGAAGGAATGACTCTTAAAAGTGAGTTAAGAGAAACAGTCAATGAGATTTCTGTCAGGTACCTCATCGGCCGCCTTGACGATGGCACCGGCAATCTTGGGGTCCAAGCCATAGTCCTTGTTCACTTCTGCAGCAGCTCTCTTCAGGATGCCGAAGGCCTTGATGACCTGAATCTGAAATGCAACGGTTTAATCAATTTCTGTACTACGCTTGTTCAGAAAGGCTGCTGCGGATGAGACTATATATACATAATAAGAGCTGAGATACACACTGAAGCTTTTCAAAGAAACACCTTTTCTCATCTTCGTTCCTGTATATCCATTTTATGAAGAAATATAACCTACTGCAACCTTACCATAGTGTTTGTTTTAACTTTGCTAAAGTTCTAGATGTTCAGATATATTCATGTTGAGCAACTAACACAAAAAGTGACATAATGACCTGGAAGATTTAAGTTTTTAATACATAAACTACACACAAACTTCAATACACATAAGATGCATACTGCGAAAATCACAATCATATCACATTTAAAAGATTACTGGTTTTGTAAATAAAACATTTTTCTCATTAAAAGGGATACATTGTGTGTCAGAAAGTACCATGTATTACTGAGAAAAATATAAAATGAAGATTTTCATCATTATGCCAGCCAGTCTGCTCAAAAACTAAAATGTTAAATTGTAATAGAGCATTCCACTGTCCAAAGACATACTGATAGGTTAATTGGCTTCTGGGAAAATTGGCCATGGTGTGAGTGTGTGTGTGACTGAGTCCGTCTTTGTGTGCCCTGCAATGGACTGCCATCCCATCCAGTGTGTACCCTGCCTTGTGCTCATTGCTCGTCACAACCCTGAATTGGAAGACAATGGGTTGAAATCTCCAGGAGAGCAGAAACTTCTGAAAGGATCTGTCAGTGGAATCATTTTATACTGTGTTTATACTTACTGGCATTCGCTCTGTCACTCCACCAATCTTGAAGTTCATAGTAGACCTGACAGTCTGAGCTCCATAGTATTTGTCACTTGGCACTTTCAGCTCTCCAAAAGTGTCTCGCTCAATTCGGTATGACTCAGAACTTGCCTAGGAAAAATAAAATAATCTTATTCACTTAAATACCATGTTTCATCATTTTACTGACCCAGCTGTGAAGTTTATAGAAGTTTCCTTCATCTTTGAACGTCTGAGAACTGTTTCAAATGGAGCCATCCAAATCGAATTGAATTGGGGGCACCTTACCTTAATTGTGTTACATATGTATGCAATATAACAAATGTATACAGACCTTAAATTAACGGCACAGTGTACAGTAAATACAGTACTTAGGTTTGGTCCTGATCTACTTTTTGGCATTGCAGTAACTAGATACTACAAAGAATCGAAGTTGTAAATTGAAAATGGTAACATCTGTATAAACCAAATCGTTTTTGTTTATAACAAAGATTTACAAATGATAAAGGTACAGTAATTGTGTGCACATTTTTCAAATCATATATTAGATGGATCTAATATATCATTTGTAAAATGTGCATCTAATATATGATGACTGCATATAATTAACTATATGACGTTTAAACAGTTTAGTTTAGATTGACATGCGACACTTCAACGTTTTCCTGATTAATCTATAGATTTACAGTACTGTACATACTGTAGTATTTCATTTGACAGTGTACTGCTATTATTCATCTTAATAATTGATATCTCAGAAAAACACCTGCATATTTCCATGCAACAGCTATAATTAGGTCGGTGGGAACGTACTGTAATTGATCATTGCAGAGTCTGTTTTACATTTAAGACGAATGTTGCATTCAACTCGACTTTGACCTTGCTGTTCAGCTAATACATACTGTGGAACCCCGAAAGTGTAACTACAACAATCTCCTCGCATTTTGTAACACGCAAACCAAAGTCTGTTTGACCATTAAACACAACTTCCTTCTGCATTTCACCATAGAAAGTGTAGATTCGATAAAACCAGCAATCCTCGCCAGCGATAAGTCTTACCGAATTTATTAATACACAGAAAAGGTCATTCCCAGGCCTGCAATGCGACTATAATGGTACAAGAGTAAATCTCCTCGACGTTAAAGGAAGAAAGCTTACCATTCTTGACGAAGCGAGGATTGTGCGGGCAGTAGGACAGTAAGATTTGTTAAATACGTTCCTGTGCAATGCTGAGAGGTTGCTACTTAATCGCTGAACGTTTCTCAGAGAGCGATACATGGCGCTGTTCAGGCTGTCACAGACTAAATAGAAGGGGAGGAGGTCGAAGGCGGAACCTTAGAAAATCCAACCACTGGCCCCCTTGAGTGGGAGGAAATATACAGCCGGAACACCAGGAAGAGAGCGGCAATAATGGGTTGTTCTGAGTTATGGGTTAGATTTTTTTTAATCACGGTCTTCCAAATAAAAAGTATTTTTAACTTTCGTTAAAATACAATATGCTTTTGTTATTTTAAATCTACCACATTACCTGTGAAATCGCCATCGCATCTCATTCCCTTCTCATGTTTAGAAATATAATTATATAAATATATCGCTAGAAACTAAAGAAAACTGGAGGGGTATCCGTTTACTGTTGCTAACATCTTGTGTACAGTATATATTGTTTAATGGATTTAACCGTGTCTAGTGTGCGACCAGATCTTTCTCCGAAAGCAATCGGAATACAATGTTTGTGTTGATCTGCAGTTGATACCAAGGAATTGCAATGAAGAATCTGTGTGCAGTATACTGTAGTGGGTCTAAATACTAATACAGTACTGACATTATCCTACGACGTGATTTTATTGTTTCTAATGTAGTTTTGTTATTAGTTATATGATGGTGGTCAGAATCTCCGCTATATAGTTTCCATTGATCAGCTGTTAGTTCAGATTCCAGCTTCAGCAATAAGACCTGCATTGTGCAGTGCTATAGATTACTTGCCTATGGTTTTGTTTTCTTAGACTTTATTTATCCGATATAAATATATTACTGTGTTGTCATATGTCACGAATCCGTTACTGGTGGTTCAGGTTGATCGTGGTGTACACACAGCTAATGTAAATGAATGGAGAAATAAAATAAATGTTCTCTGTTTTTGAATAGAGCAGTTTGTCTTTTTGCATCTCGACAGCAAAAATAGTGGCACCTTGGTTTGCACAGGAACCCCTTTTTAACATATTTTGATCGTGTTGGCACTGCTACTGCATCCATCAAGTCTGGAGTAATACGCCTGCATCCATGGATCGCAACAACATCTACAGGTGTGGTGGAGAGCATACTGACCAGCTGCATCACAGTCTGGTACGGCAACTGCACCGCATCCGACCGTAAGGCACTGCAGCAGGTGGTCAAAACTGCCCAACACATCATCGGCAACACCTTACCATCCATCCAGGAAATCTACAACACCAGGTGTGACCCCACTCACAACTTGATTGTCCGCCTACAATCTGGTAGAAGGTTCCAGACGTTCCAGTCGCACATAACAAGACTCTGAAATAGCTTCTTCCCCAGAGCTGTCAAGCTGGTGACCTCCCCACTCCCACCCACCGTCACTAGGAGCACAGTTTAGAGACAACATGTAATCTAGTCACTGTGTCATTAGATGGTAGAGGGAAACCAATGTACCCAGCAAAAATCCAGATACTAACCCGTCAATCTGGAATTGGCAATAGGGCCCAGGTGAGAGGCAGCAGTGATAATAACCAGGTCTCAAGCACAACGGTCCATCCATTTTCAAACCACTTTACCCAATACAAGGTCACAGAGGAGCTGGAGACTGTCCTGGCAAGCAAGCAACGGGCTCAAAGCAGGATACACCTTAGACCAGATGCCAGTTCATCACAAGGTACACATAGGCCCAGGCACGAACACACTACCCACCCAGAGGAAAGAACATACAGACTCCACATAGATAATTGAACCAGAGTTGAACCCAGAGCCCCAGGGCTGTGAAGCAGCAATGCTAACCACGCCAACACCATCTCAGACATGTGTCATTTTAAAAGAGGTTCGGCCTCCTGCAACATTGCCATGGTGAGGACACTAGAGGTCAGTACAAACTAAAATACAGTAATATTGCTTGTTAATTAAGTCAGTCAGTAGAGAATATTGATAATTAAAATACAGTACACAATATTTTACAAATTTGGTCTGAACTGTTACTCTCCTTTTTCCGTACAATTATTAGTTAAATGTCAATAGTACCTAATGTTGAAAGGAGTACTTTGTTCTTTTTTGGTAATGATGTGTATGTTGACATGGGTGAAACGATATTATAAATGCCCACATTTTCATTACTTCATTCTGAATTATTACACAGAGAAACTTTTTTTGTATTGGTGGCCAGTGTGACATGGTATACTTTATGTGAATTACTGAGATATTTTTAGAAAAGCTCCAGAGCAGAAATAAATCTTAAAAGTATTATACAATGAGCTCAGACTCTTGCCAACTTTATCTCATATTCATCTTGAATTTAAACTATATGGCACTAAAATGTTATGTACTCACTGTACAGCATTTTGACATTTGCCAGCTGGTGTAATAAGCATTGAATGTAACTAAGGGCAACTTCAAGCTATTCTTAAGCAGTCGAGCTCCCTATAACTACTGTATATGTTGTTGATACTCCTCAAAGATACGTCATAAAATACAGATCTTTTTTAGACACAGGATAAGAATAATCTGTTTATGCTCAGCTAAAGCACAATTTTACTCTTTCCCTCTCACCAGATATTTCGACTTTAAGCTACTGTCAGTCACCAGTAAATTCTGCAAACTGACAGCGTCCACTTGTCTGTCATCTTTGAAAATCCCAGTCAGGTTTAAATAAAAAAGTAGTCTGAATATATTGCGTCTCTGAAGAAATGCAGTAATAAAGTATTAATCAGAATATTATTTCCATTGTATTAAAAAGTTTGGCCTCCTTTTAATATCAATGCTTGCAATAAAGAAGGCAACATTCATTTTTTTTTCTAGTGACAATAAATTTCCACATGAGCAGTTAAATTAATGAACAATGACTGAAGTATCCAGAAAATAATCTAAACGAACCACATATATTGTTTTAACCTTCTTTTATATTGTATTTATTTGATTTGATACACAATATTAAATCTGATTATAATTCCACAGCACCCATACTTAATTTCATTCATACTTTTCTGATCATCTTGCTGAGGGCAGGTTCATTTAATTCAGGAACATGAGGAGCAGAGCTGTGAAAAGGATATAAGCATACGTTTCCTTGCAGAAGTATTCACTCCCAAGGATACTCCATTTTGTTGAATTACCAGTGATGTACAGTACAGTACATACATTTTTGAAGTGAGTGTTTTTAATCAAAACTTGGATGCTCAAGCTGAACATTTTAATGGATGAAAGAAGTTAAATGGCAGTGAAAACTCCAAAGAAAAATAAAACTAAAACACAAACTGAAATATGTGCAGTAATTTTACACATTGGTGGAAATCCATTTATATGAAGCTCCAATGGTACAATCAAAGTGGAGCTTTAGCTGGTACAGGGCATGGTAGTAGCAGTACTGCCTCAGATCCCAGTTGTCCTGGGTTCAATTACAGCTTGGAGTGCTTGTCTGTGGAGTTTGCATCTCCCTATATTTGCATGCATTTTTGCTTGTTTGCTTCAGTTCATTTTCATTTTCCTAAAATATGAAAATCAAGATAGACTGGCTACACTAAAACACCCAGTTTTGTGGGGGGTCAACAAGACGGACTGGAAGGCCTCCTCTCTTTCATGACTCATAATGCTCATGTTAAAATTGCTCTTTCTTAAGTTCTCAACCTCTTTACATCATATAGTCAAGTTATTATAGATCATATTTAAAGCATGCACTATTCTTAAATATAAAGACTGCAAGAAGGAGGGAGACAAACAATCCAGGCAGAGATCATAACAGGCAAGAAGACCCAGACTTTGCACAGCTGGTCTAATGTAAGTGGCACTTCTACTGTATATACAGTAGGTTTACCTCATATTAATCACACAAATCACATAATGTTCCCACAAAATACAAAAACCCTCGGGTTTGATCAGTTCCAGGTGCCATGGCAGAAATAAAACATGCATGTATGCAAATAAAGGCTCTGGGATGTTGTGACACTTTAAACAGATAAAGGATAAAGTAGCTTTCTAATACTGTATTGAAATAAATATGTAAAATTACTTGGATAGAGACAGTAGCATCTTTGAAACTGGAGAGGGAGCCAGCTACCTAAAAACAGCAATAATAAAAAATACATCCAGACATAATATGCAGTACTACATAAATGAGACTTTTACACTTATAACTCTAGGTTAATTAACCTGAAGGCATTCTTATAGATTAGGCATTTCAAGATTAGCACTGCTCTGCGACCGTGAAACTACTGATCTTTTCCTACTAAGATTAGCATTTATCTCACAGATATTTAAAAAAACATGTACCTAGCAGGAATTTAACCCGAAGTTTTGTCCTCAAGTAATTGTTTAGCTAAGACCTATTGACTGGAAGAACAGCAAAACCACGGTGTGTGGGACAATGTTTACAAGTGACTTTCAAAATAGTTCATACTGAAGTTCCTATATTTCATTTGTATGAACTGTGGGAAAACAAGAACTGATTCCAGGTCAGATAACGAAGCCACCCTACACGGTTTGCTCCTCCCCCAGATGATCTGTAACTTTCAACCGTGCCTCTGGGGAAGCACTGGTGCAATAATTGGGAAATCATCAGCACAAGCAAGCTGTGGAGCTCTTCCTGACCTCATAAACTAAAGGCCTAACCGAGTACAGCCAAGTGTTGCACACCCTGCAATGGATCACTCAGATGGCAAGAACAAAGTTAAAGTTGCAGTGGTGGGAGGAGGTTTGGTAAGAAATAAATTAAAACTCTATACTGTATCGTGCTGTACTGAATATGCTAGGGGCAGAGTCAGTTATAAATTGTGACATCTAAAGTACATTCATAAGACACTCAATTGGAAATATAAGACTTGGAAGTGTGAATCTTATTGTATCAAGTCACCATTCTGCTTTGTGCCTTATTTTTGGTGACTTCTTTTCATTGCATCATGCCTGGTTATTATTGAAATGCAGCAATGGTCTATAGTATATCAATATGTCACTATTCATTGACAAATGCAGCCACTATTATGTTAAATCAAAATTTTTGTCTCCTATGATATGAAATGGTATATGTATGGTTTTTGAAAATGAAACCCCTGGAACCCTTTCTATTTGGTTTTTGTGTGAGACTCCTACTGCATTTAATCAGATGTGATGGGGGATATCCTAACAGGGGATATATGACTTTCAGAATTATCAGTTTTCTGTTGCAGCTCCAAAGAATGTCATCAAGGAGATAATATTGGGGCTTAAAAAAAAATTTGTCAGGGATGTGGAGCCTATTATCCATCATGCAGGTGGATGCTACACACTGGTGGTGGTGGAGGGGAGTTCTCATTACCTGTAAAGCGCTTTGAGTGGAGTGTCCAGAAAAGCGCTATATAAGTGTAAGCAATTATTAATTATTCTTATCAGAAAAATACCAATCTGATATGTAACCCAGTGGGTTATGATGGAGGGCTAATGTCACAATCAGGCTTTGAGCTTTCCAGATTGTTTGAATGTACCCATAAAATATAAGTAAATCTATGGATGGAGTCAAGTCATGATGAGAGATAGATGAACTGCTTACATGTATTTTTAGATATTTGGAATAATGTTTCCAGTGGGTGGCTTGGTGGTTTGATGGTTAGCACAGTTTCCTCACAGCTCTTGGGTAATGAGTTCCATTTCAGCCTCTGTCTGCAGTTTGCTTGTTGTCTGTCCTGCAATGGACTGGTGTCCTGTCCACGGCGTACCTTGACATGCGCCTATTGCTTGCTGGGATAGTCTCCCGCACCCATGAATCCGTTGAAGTGGTTAAGAAAATGGATGGATGGATTTGCTAATGTGTAATGTGCATGAAAATGTATTTCAAAATTTGTACTTGTTTAATTTTGTAGTTGACATCACTTACTTGTTGTTTTGCTCTACCTTGTTTTATGAAGCTGATGGATTTAAAAATTATGTTTGTGAAAGATGTGAGTCCCATCTATGTTTGGAATTTTCTTATAAATTCCTGAGAAAAAAGCACAGTATTACAAATGTCCTACTTGCTTCCTCTAAAACAAATCTCTTGGGGTGGCATAAAGTTGTAGTCACGTTATGTATTTGGAAAATGAATTAACACAATAACAGACAAAGGTGTGATGTAAAGTAAATGTGACTTTTTTCAACATACATGGATATATTCTTGAAAAAAACAGTAAATTAGGTCATTTAGAAATTAGTAATCCCTATTTATCATTTGCAGGAAAACTAATATTTCCCTTTAAAACAACATCTTACCTGACAGACTTTGCTTTTTGAAACCCAGGAAACCCATCTGTAGTATCCTAACAGGCTTTGATTTTTCCAGTGGGTATGAATTCTGATGTTATGTTGATAGCCTGATGTGCCTGGAAAAATATGGAAGTGATTCCAAATCAGTATTCCAGTTCCTCATGTTACATCTACCTCTTGTACAGTAGATAATATAAACATGCTATTCTAATTGTTCTGTAAAAGAGTCAAGAAGGACTTCATAGAATTGGCAGACATTCTTTAGTACAGTATGTGATGCCTCATGTGTTTGTAAAACAGAGCATCACACCCACTTCACACAAAACCATGAGTCTGGGAGTTAAGAAACCCTTCAAGATCATTACTTAAATATTACTTGCAGGTGGGACCCACAGACTGGCTTTAAAAGTCGTGCTGTATTGATTTGGCCAGCTATCTTTTCATTTGCTGTAATTAAATTATACAAGTCTGTGAAGCCGTTAAAGAGACACATTGGATATTATTCTTTTTTCTTAGGTTGGCGCTTTAAATGCCTGCTTCTTTGCCAAAAGAGGTTTTCAAGTTGAGCTTTATGAATCTAGAGAAGGTAAGTCTTTTATAGCTGTTTTTTTTAGCTGTTGCTGGCAAATTATTTCCTGCTATTTCATTCGCAAATGCCAAATAATGAACATTACGGATTGCCTTAATGTCTCTCAGAGTACAGAGATTTCTCTCTATGACATGTCACTCTCCGTGACAAAGTGAGAAATGTGGCTATTCAGAAGATCTTTGGAGTAGAATCACTACTGCTCCAGATCAAGAGGAGACAGTTGAGCTAGTCCAGCTACTGTACCTGGTAATGATGCCCCACAGGAGGCCTCTGCTTAAGGTCTTCCAGGCCTTATTTCCCTGGCCCAGTGTATGCTGGAGGGTTTGTGTATTTTGTCTTGTCTGGAAATACTCCTAAATCACCTAGGAGGTCTTGAATCTGTTGAGGTGGAAAAAGAGGTGTGGTCTTCCCTGCTTGCTTTCTCCCTGGTTTTCTCTGGAATAAGAGGACAGAAAATGGGTGCATGACTTTTCTTGTTTGATTTAATGAGCTAATTTCAAGTTTCATACAAAAGCACATACATATCCTGCCTTCAAATATTGCCTGTGCATTTACCAGGCTGGGACTGTACAATTGATCATGTCCCCACATATCATTTGTTTCATATGATTTGCCCTAGATATTCGAAGAGCCAAAGTGGTCAAAGGGAGAAGTATTAACCTGGCTCTTTCTCACAGAGGTCGAGAAGCTTTGGAAGCTGTCGGAATGGAAGATAAGGTAGAGTTCTAAACCCCATGTGGCGTTCTTACTGTAGAAGTTAATGTTAGATTTTAATCATTTTAATTTTAATTACTGACCCGTGGACAGACCCACGGGTATCAACAGCGTAGCAGCGAAAATGAGGGTATGTCAAATACAATTTTAATGAGAAACAAGTGCCCCAGGGCAGGTGATTGCCATTTAGATCATCATGGTAAATCTTTTACTGATTGCTCCAGGTTCAATTCTGGAGGTCAGATTTCTGTCCTCACCATGGGCCCTTATTAAATCCAGTCAGTTTTTATACAGTCACAGCTGTTTTACAGTGAGCATTTAGGGTGACTCATTCTCACTTCTTCTCTGAGAGGTCTTTGAAGGACACTGACAGGAAAACGTCCATCTTAAATCTTTGCAAAGAGTCATCTGAAAGTATGCTCATAAGATTGAGTTTTTTTGTAATCATTTAACTTTATATTATGATAAAAAGTGGCACGTTAAAATGCCTGCTGCTTGAACTTTTGGTTTTAGGTGGTGTCAAAAGGGATCCCCATGCATGGAAGAATGATACACTCTCCGAGTGGGAAAAGATCACCAATCTTCTACGGCAAGAAAGGACAGGTATTTCAGTCTTTGAAATGCTATGTGGATAACATTTGTAACCTCTTCAAAATCAACATGCTCATTAAACATGTCTGTTAATGATTGCTGCTGTCTCATCAGGCTGAAATAATTGCATAATGTGGGAATACATTGGAACAGGATACAGTGTAAACTAATTGTTTTCAGCACATTTTATACTGTAAAATGTTTTCATCCCTGCTAACCTGTTGTAGAAAGTTTTTATGCTGTCGCCTCCCCCCTGCCAGAAATAGAGAACAAACCTAAAAAGTTTTTTAACACCAGCTGAATGTTTGAACAAGATTAGAATGACTTCTTATTCTCTTGCATGTTCAGCTTGGAAGTTACTCATATTAAAATAATATCAGTATATTTCAGTTTTACACTGCAGGATTATATTCTGGATTTGAGTTTGACTCCTACATTAATCACAGCTAAAGATAGAGCAGTGTTCAGATAAGAAATGTCTTACTGAAGCTTATGATAAAAAATAAAATGTATTATTCTGCTATTTGTGCAACACATATCTAGGAAAAATGTATCCATATACATTTCTGTGATTATTATGATTAATTGAGCAGTGGATTGAACAGCAGGGTCTTTGACTCTCAGAGTAGAAGAGCTACATACAGTGGTAATGACGTCACAGGAGATTAGTGAAGCAAGGAAATCACTGCACAGAGCAAGTGAATAATCACTATACAGAGAAAGATGGGATTTTGGCAGCGTTCCACAGGGTAACAAACAATTAACTTCTGTAGACCCTAAGGTATAAGATAAAAACAGCTGTTTTGATGGATGTGCGAAAATTGAAGTGAAGGCAGTTGCCTCAGGTAATGTCATGAGGTCTTAGCAGAAGTTATTTGGGAAGAATATAAATGTGATCAGCATTGGCAATACCAATTAGAAAGGCACTTGCCTGATCCAGGCATCATGGATTGCATCCCTAGTCATTTCACTGGTTGACTGTGACGAGGGATCTCATAGAGTTGGCTGAGGGCTGGGAGGGGTAGCCAGGGCTCTTCTGTGTGCACGTGACAATGTGACCCTTGTAGCCTCTCAGGCACTTGCAGGTATGCGGTGCTGTGGGTGACAATGCGACATGCCTCTCTTCCATTGGATAAGAAACTACAGTGTTCCGGAGTGTTTGGTGGACCGGTTGCTTCTAATTTGTAATATTTCTGTTGAGCTTTTCAGTCAAGGGAATTGATAGGCAACGAGAGGCATTTGCTTTTAAAGAGCAGGCAAGTTCTCTCAGATGCTCAGAAAGATTGGACTAACTGCAGCAAAACAATCCATTTTACTAGATAGGCAGGAGATGCTTAAATCACACTTGACTGCATTAATTTGCAGGAATTGTACAGTACATTTCAAAATGAAGTACAGCTAGATTACAATTTGCTGGTGAAAAACATGTGACATTGTGGTCAGATACTTTTTCTCATCCTCTGAATTGATTTATTCCCCTATATTGCAGTACATCCTGTCTGTGGACAGAGCCAACCTCAATAAGGAACTCTTGTCTGGTAAGTAATAAATCACATTTGTTGTGATTTATTCTATAATATACTGGCTAACCAGTTTGTAAAAATGAATAACATCATACTATATCAGTGGCTAATGTGTAATAGCTCCATTCACAGTGTAGGTAAAAAAAGCATTTAGCTTGGAGGTACAATTCACCCCAAACCAATCAGATTCTTAGACTCTTAGTATCTACATGTTAGTGTTTATTATTTCTCATTGATGGTACTGGGGGAGTACAATTGATAAATGAAATCCTTTATCTAACCACAGAGCCTGTGAAGCACACACTTGATATAGTTGTGGATTAAATCACATTTAACCAATACAAACTATGTGAGAACAGGTGAGAAGGAACAACCCCTTCCTTTTAGTGGCAACACTTGTATCAAAGGACAATTTGGCCTTTATGCTAATGTCATTCTCGGTCTTTTAACGAGAGGTAATTCAATTAATTTTCTACCTGTGCCTCTGGAGGTGCGATTCTCGAAAAGGTTGTTAAATTAATTAGCTAGATCGCTTAGTCTCTATTTGGTAAAGGTGGAAAAGGGAATACATCCATTTGCAGCTGTTTTCAAAACACAACTTTCTTCACATTCAATACCCAGGCTTAGCTTTATCTCAGTCATCAGGGCTTTTCATAGCAAGTATCAGGAATATAATTTGGTTCTAAGATGTAATGTGATCTACAGTACTTAGAAAATATTTTCTACTCTGCAATAACGCAACTTTACAGGAACAGTATACAGTATGTAAAAAATGATTTTCAGATTTTTTTTAAACAAAAAATGTCATTTTGTGAATTCCATATGCTTTAAACTGCTCATTCAGGTGCTTTAAAGGAAGATAACATTAACATTTTCTCTACTTTTTTTTTTTAAGCGGCTGAGGGTTATCCTAACACTAAGATGAACTTTGGACACAAGCTACTGGATTGGAATTTGGAATCTGGGGCAATGACATTTCTTAGGTAAACAATAAGAACACACACTTGTATACTTGTGCCTCCTGCTGAGAAAAAAAAATAGTACTAGAAATTAGAATTAGAAATAATAGAATAATAGAAGAATTTTTTTCTTCAGTATCTGGTAATAAAAGCTTGTCCCCTTGTAGGTGGCTACTGTATTCTTGACCATTAAGGGTTATTTTTTACTGAATAATGATGAATTGATCTGAAGTGAAAAGACAAGGATATTGATGTGCAATAATTCTTTATTCATTCTTTCCACATATACTGTAGACTCAGTTTTATGGTTTGTGCTTTTGCAAACAGTTTACAAGGAGAAAATGAAGCTTCTTTAATGATGTCTACTTATTGAAAATCAGGAGGTTTCTTGGGTCAGCTTGACAAATACAGCTGCTGAGAAAGAACGAATTGCTGCTTTGACATTTTCACCTTTTGTGACATCCCAGCAATTTTCTTTTCTTCTGAACAATAATGTCAACTTCATACCTGTTTTTTTATTATTATTTCTGTGACTTTGATGCTTAAGAGAACATAATGCTGTGCCTGTACTGTGTCTTTGTGTGGATGCAGGTCAGATGGCTCAAAAGAAGAAATGGTGTGTGACCTCATTGTGGGTTGTGATGGGGCCTTTTCAGCCATCAGAAAGCAGTTCATGCGTCAAAGCCGGTTTAATTACAGCCAGACGTACATTCCACATGGTTATATGGAACTCACAATACCTCCAAAAAATGGCGATGTAAGAAACTCTTTAGTGTGCATGTGTTTAAAATAGTCAGAGTAGATGAAAGTACAGCGATGGGTACAGCTTTAAAATAAAAGTTTTTCTTAAAATTCAGAAAACAGGAAGCCTGAAAGGTCTTTTCCGTGAAATATTTGTATCTATCTGCTCTTATATTTAAAAGAACGCTATAAAAGACAACTCTTGACAGGGTTTTCAAAATAAAACTGTCTAAAATCTTAAGGACACAGGCCACATTTCTTTGAGGTTTTCTTGGAGAGAGGTTGTTAATTTGTGGGCTTGTGATCCAAAACTTAAGTATTGTTTGTTTTTCCAGGGCTGGGTTTGGATTGTTTATGCGACGATCAATTGATGGATCCATTTCATGACAATCAATGCAAGCTTTCTGCTGCCCTGGCTGTTGTTTAAGCCTCCACTTACTTCCTTTGTTGATGTTTCTTACAGTTTGCCATGGAACCAAACTACCTCCACATCTGGCCAAGGAACACCTTCATGATGATAGCTCTACCAAACTTAGTAAGTGCTGTTTGAGTAACAGAAAGAAAATGTTGTTACTCAATGCAGAATCTGCTTCATTTTCTCATATTCAAATAAAATTAGTGGAGACACAAAAATAATGTTTAAGTGATAAAATATTATATTCCTGGGATTCTCTTTGTCTTGATTCTTATTGCATCTTATTACAGAGTTACACCTTTAAACATTTCTTTTATTAAATTGGAACAAAATGTATGCTACTGTATATAAGTTCACCGCTGTACCATGAAGTACTGTACTGTATAATAGGTTTCATTGGAGTGACCAATTCTGTCCCAAGAATGTAGTGGGTAAATGATCCCCAAGGAGTTTACAGTAGTAGATTATTTATGAGACAGTGACAGGATTGGAGGAGTGTTTGGTGAGAATAGATTTGGAAATGTAATTTTGAGCAAGACTGTTCAGAGCCTTGAATATTAGGACCATGATATTTAATTTGACTTTGAATTCAGCTCAATGCTAAAACTGTTATACTGTATGTTCATGAGATTTCATTCATCTTAACTTCAGGCTGCTGAATTATAAACATACTGTATTACAGCCTTTTTAAGGAGTCAGTGGGAAGTACATCAGTTTAGTCAGTATAAGAAAATACATTAAGCATGAACGTTTCTGAATCTATTTCAGAACATTTCAAGCTACAGTGAATGTTTAGCACCTGTAAAAAGAAATCATATTAAAAGTGATATTAGAAGTCTGCTCCTCAAAGGACAGGATTGGATTAGAGATAACACCAAGATTTTATACATTTGCGCAAGGTCGAATCTCATCTCTGTCGATGAATGAGTTGAATTTTTCATATTTTCAGAGCTGATCTTATTAGAATTTTGCTGCAAGGGATTCTGGGACCTAAACACTTACAGCCTTTCCAATCATTTCACCAAGGCTGTATGATCAATAGTCAGAAACAACACAAAGATCTAATAAGAGTAGAGACAAAACCAGAATCAGCATTTATCAATAACGTATTGACAATCCAGCTCAGGGATCTGAAACCAGACTAAAAGAGTTCAGTGGGACTGCTAACAGATAAACTAGAAACACAATAGTCAGTGGACATCTATCTTAGTAGATATACATCTACAAACTAGATGACACTGTGGTTGATATAGAATAGTACACTCAGAGACCTTTACCAAAAATAGTAGATGAGAAGCAGGGTTTCAATGATAAAGGCAATCTAAGATGTTAACAATGGTTTAATTACAACCAAAAGCTAAATCCTCATGACTGCATAGCTCAGAACCATTTTCTTTTCTGACTGTGTTGTGCAATGGAAAATGGAAAGTGTAACTGACCTCATGATTGCAAGTTCACGTGACTCCAGTGCTTCAGATTAAAATCACCCCTTTTCTGTGGAATCATTGTTGATTTCTTTCTTCACAGGACATGACTTTTACCTGCACCCTTTTCATGCCTTTCGAAGAGTTTGAGAAAATCACTACTCCAGAACAAGCCATGGAATTTTTTGAGAGATACTTCCCAGATGCTATTCCTCTCATTGGAATGTAAGGGGCATTTGTGTTTACAGCAGCCTCATGGCTAAATGTGGTCAACCATTTACATGAATGGATAAAAGGTGACCTGTTTTTGCAACCAAGAGCTTGTAAGTGGTAACTAATCATGGAGACTTTCAAGAAGGAAATACACATGTATATGTGTATATCCCCGTTTTCGAGAGCCAGAATACAACAGAAAGAACATTGTAGAAGTATTTTAAGATTTCTGTATGGTGTGGTTACAGAACTTGTGTCACATGAAAGGTTGAAATTTTGTCATTTAAATGACACATTTGTAAATGTAGAATCCACACTGGAAGAACAGAAATCTTTGTCAGCCTAGCCTTATCACGTACAGTATCACTTCTAAAACCAATATTTCACCCTGTTCTTTTTCTCTGAACACAAGCTGGCCCTTGTGATCTCTCTTCATGACAGTTTAGCGCTCGCGGTAAGCTTGGATGTCTATTCCTCCCCATCAGGGCGGCCCTGAGAAAGGATTTTTTCCGCCTGCCACCGCAGGCCATGGTGTCAGTGAAGTGCTCTTCGTATCACATTGGAACCAAGTGTGTGCTAATGGGAGATGCAGCCCATGCTGTGGTGCCCTTTTATGGGCAGGGCATGAATGCGGTAAGTTATAAAAGAGATCGGCCTTGCCATTTTTATATTGTAATCTGTCCATTTTTTTAATTTAACCATCAAATCAAGTCTTTTATTATGTATATTTTAAAAATAATATTATTTTACACATTACATGACTAAAGTACTAAAAATGAGCTTGTCCTAGTTACTGTCCTGAATTTTAAATGGCTGATTAGCTGAGTTATGCAATATGAATTACATTTTCCTATTCTTAACAGTTGTGAATGGGTAATCTCATTAAACGTAAATCAAAGGCTTATTAAAATAAGCACTGGGAAATGTTGAATTCATTGTGACTGTATTGTCAAAGGTTGGTGGAATTCAGTTATCAAATTTCTTTTGCAGACTATCATTGCAACTGTGTTTTTCCCCTCCTTTATAGGGCTTTGAAGATTGTCTTGTTTTCAATGATTTAATGGATCAATATAACAATGATTTCAGTGAGTACATTTTGGAAACTTCTTGTCACAAAAATTGTTTTCATTTCAGTATGAAAAGGAAGTAAACATATAAACCTATGAAGAAAATAAATACCAAATACAGTGCATTTTTTAACAAATTTACCCTTACTTTCTTTTAGGTAGAGTTCTTCCAGAATTTTCGAGACTTCGAGTGCCTGACGACCATGCTATAGCAGACCTCGCTATGTACAACTATATTGAGGTAACAAAATAACTTTCGGTGCAACACATACATTAAAGTGGATAAATAGTAACACAATAACAGAGACTTTTTCCTCTGTTATTTTTTAAACTGTTTTGAGTGACAAATTGTTACATGTTAACACAGTCTGAGAGAGACAACAGTGTAGTTCATTCTTCATTCTAACTCCAAGGTTCTCTAATATGCATTAATAATATTCACTAATTGCTTCTCTGAAAACAAAGCTCCTTCACCTTTTTATAATGCACATTTAATGAGAGGGCTGTTCTCTGTCCATTGTCTTCCTTTCCCTAGGAAAGATGCAGAACTTTGAAATGTTCTTATATTCACTGAAGCAGAAACACAGAACACATGCATGTAAATGTTGTTTTTACTGAACACACAGTTATTTACATCATCCTAAATTGTACAGGGCAGTCTTACTGTTTTATTTTTCTCAAGATTTAAACAGAAATGTAAATATGTATCCTGACATGATGTTTCTGGCAGCACTCAAAGCCTAGTTGTCCAGTTACTGTTAGTACTGGGAGGACAGTTGTGGCTGATATTACTCAAAGACACTGAGTTTGCAACACATTTTATTAAGAGAAAAGGGGTGCACAAATATGAGTTATTCAGCAGTCAGGTGAATAAGTCTCTTTGAACCTTTTGTTTCCAGATGAAAGAGAGATTCACAGACTGTACCACTGATTTACCTGGCAACACACACATTTCCCTGCTCTCTGTAGATTGTTTTTCTAGACGTTTGAATGGTGCTATATTTTTGTTTCCTTTGTGTACAAGGGTGTTCTCATTTCACTAATTATTCTACATGTGCACTAAGAGTAATCCATGGAAACACACTTTTACTTATATTTTTCTTTGTAAAGAAATACTGTGGCTATTGCTGTTGTTGATTTTAACCTAAACGACACAGCAAAATCAATTTTGCATCCGTTTATTCTACATGTGGAATAGCTTTGATTTTTTTGTTTGTGCATAAAATATTCTGAAACACATCAGTCTCAAGCACGTTTCTTATTGTATCTAAGATTTATTCTTTCTAGAACGCTACTATGAAATATACTGTGGTAGGCTCATTTACAAAGATAAAAGAAATATATTTGCAATTTTAAAAGCAAACCTGTTTTTTTCAGATGCGTGCACATGTTAATTCCAAGTGGTTCCTGTTCCGAAAATATCTTGATATGGTTCTTCATTTTCTTATGCCTAATACCATAATCCCTCTATACACTATGGTGAGTCAAAACTACTCCAAAAAGGTTTTCATTCTGTGCAAGTTTTAGCCTGAACAGGGATTAAGATTCTATATTGGTATACAAAAGAATATATATGAATATACTGTATGCTGTTCCTTCCTTTTTCAATATTATAGTAGAATGTCTCAAATCTGATCACAGTGGGACCAGAGTGTTAGTAGATTTGTAACATGTATATGGTACATGTAGATAATCACATACACGGTCACTACTGTATTTTAAAAACAGCAAAGGAGGAGAGGAGATGCTATTGGCATTAAAGTGTCTTCATTAATGTAGTGCAGTGAAAAAATATAATTCACATCTGTTAAAAACTCTTTTATTACTACTATTTTCACCCAAGGCCTTCTACATCAGTCCTACACACAGCCTCTTGTCTTGATTGAGGCACATAATCATTGGCAAACTATTACCATAATGATCACATTATTTCTATCATTGACCATTATTAGGCAGGCAATGGTCAGAGAAAATACACAAGGGATGGATAAGAGGCAGAACTGTGCAAGTAAATGAAAAATGACAGAATAGAAGATCCCATCTGCAGGTTTTGAATTGCTGGATACTGTAAGCGGATTGCTTTTCAAACAACCAGCCAACAGAATGGATTCAAAAGAGGTTTTATAGACTCTGTTATTCTTAATTTTTCAAAGCCTTGACAGGAAACGATTAATCTTTAATTGTAATGTTTTGCACAGTAGCCTTCATACTGCAAACAGAGCGTCTTTGCACTTGGGTCACCCCATCTTTGACTTGCCTTGTACCCACAGGTTACATTCACCAGAATCAGGTACCATGAAGCAGTAAATCGATGGCAATGGCAGAACAAGGTAAGGGGGCTTTTTGCTGACCTGTCATTCACTGAACTGTACAATGGCGACGGGGGTTTCTTAAAAGCATTACATTACTGTACGTGCTCACGTCAAAGTGGAAAACTGCCTTTCAGTTTTTTGGTTCGATCCCAGTAGGCATGAAACAGAGAGACACCAGAGTGTATTTGGTGTAGCTAGCCTGGCTGCCCAGACCCCCCACACACCCTCTGCATCATGAGGGCAGAGCCGGGGGGTTGCTGCAGGAGTGTATATGGACAGAAAGTCCCGGGTTCAAGGCTTATAATACATCAACCGGCAGCAGTGTGAGAGATTAGGATCTTCCAAATCTTCCTTTGAGTCTTCCTTTGAAGATCTTTGGATCTTCATTCCAAATCTCTGTTATATCTTTGTTCCATAATTCCATAAAGTACCGCGCCTATTCAACATCATATTAATCAAATCGCTTTTTTGATATTTTAAGATCCTTTTTTCTAACTGAGCTTTGAGTTTTAAATCAATTTTAATTTTACATTTTCATTTACAGAGATCATTTAGCAATAAGAAACTTTCATGTAAAGAGACCATGTTGATGCTTTTCTTTAAAAAAAAAAACACTGCTCTGTTTCCATTCAGGTGATCAACCGAGGCCTGGTATTGTGTGCTGTGGCATCAGTAACAGGTGGCGCATACATGCTTGTCAAGTACTGTCCCCGTGTTCCTAGCGTTCAGCTGCATCAGCTGTGGAGCAGGGCTCAGACCCTGAAGCTTTTCTAGCATCGCCACCAAGGTGATCCTCAGATATCAGTGCCTCAGGGCAGATGAATTTAAATCACTGTAACCATGAAGGGCATCGAAACAAGTATGCCAAACGATTTCACAGGCTGTTTGGGTGAGAAACAGAACTATTGCCATTGATTTTCTAATTTAAGAATGTAGTGCTTTGAATAATTTAAAATGTCACAATTTGCTGTTTTATAAAAAGAAAATATAATGTGGCCCTGGGTGCAGTGATTTTTGTCATATAGTGTACAGTCACTTATACACAGTTACTGTAAATTGTGCACACAAACAGTAGGGCAAGGAGATGCCTGATTGTGTAGCAGAATTTCAGAATTCTCTGAAAGAGATCAGATACGAAATACTGTACTTGATAAACCTTGACAATATTGTCCTCATTGCTGTTATTCTCACAGCAAATTTGATTTCAAGTGAAATGTAAATGTAATTAGGACCTTTGTTTGTAAACAAAACACTAATAAAACCGTCAGAATGCAGAAATTTAAATCTGTATTAATCTAATAAACACCAGAAAAGCGCAATAAAAGGGTTAAATATTGTAGTCTGCATCGATTTCACCCCTTTCACTTTTGACATCTTGTTAGATGAGCAGAACAGGACATGCACTATGGATTTTACAACATAATTGCAAGGCAAAAAAAGCTCACTGTGTTAGTCAAAACACAATGGAAAATAATGGTCACACCTGGGCCAATCAAACGTACTTCTGTTCCATATACTGTATGTGGTGAACACACAAAAACCTTTAAATCCTTTCAAATGGACAGAGTTTAATATTTATGAATGCTGCCCCTTTTCCAACAATAATTAAGTATATGAGTGTGAAGGAAAATAGATTATTTTATATTAAATAGATTGTTTAATGGCTATTGTAATATTTCTGTAATAAATTATTGAATACCTGTTTGTTTGAGAATTATGTTGAAAAAAGGTAGACTGGGAGTAAAAATAAAAAGCAGCACTAATCTAGAAAAGGCTTTATGGAAAAATAATTTACCAGGTAATCCTTACAGATTATCACTATATACAGAACGAAAGAGTGGAGTATGCAGAAGATGGATGTTTGATGGGAACCTTCACTCATTTATCAAAAGGTCAATGCACAGGGCAGATAACCTGTTAATGAATGAGTTCCATTAATTTATACAGAGGATAACACCACCTTCTGTCACCTGATCTACAAGCTACTGTAAAACACTTTTTTTATTAACATACAGCAAGACAAAGCCACACGTACAGTATATACACAGGAGTTGCCAGTTCCACTCCTCGGGGTTGTGAATCCAGAAGGTTTTTTAGGTCTCCTTAAGTTATTTGCAGCACTTCGCCTGGAAGAAGTGTTATTTTATCAAAGTTACTTCGATCACTATCATTCCTTCACAATGTCTAGTTGAAGGGACAAGTGTGTTAGGCTCCAGGCCAGAAGACCAGAGATGGAGATTGTCATTATATCCAAAGCCACCTCATGTAAGTATTCAGATACACAGTATACCATGTGACATGCCAGTATGCTGAGCAAGATAATCGCATCCCTGCCAGTGCATCACCTTGATTTTGTGTATTTTGAGTGCCTGTTCATTCAATCTCACAGACAGAACCACTGCAGGGTCCTATGTCTTTCACTGCCCCCCCTGGGAAAGTATGCACATTCCTCTTTTGGTCTTCTCTCTTGGTTTCACTCACTGAAACTATTAAATGAACAATATGGGCTAAATGAGTTCCTGTCATTTGTACCCTTAACTTTAAAATCCAGGAAATCTATGTGGGGTATTTGTGCACCATCCTCATCAATGACCTGTTTGTGGCAAAATGTTTACTATGCTATAATTTTCATTTGGTCAAACTTCACGTTTTATGTGTAGATTGTGTAGGCTTCCAGTACATACAAATATTTTTTGAACTCGGAACACATTTTGGTTTATTTTAATATTCATTGACTCTGAATGTAATAAACTACGATACTTAATCATACATCATACAGTATGTTGTACAGAATGTGTATAGGAAAATTAACATAGAAAAAAGTTTATTCAAAATAGACTTTATTTATTTTGCTATACAGTACAAGGACAATTATTTTCAGAGCTATTGTACATGGTAGGCAATCCTTAGGTTTCTTAAAGGTTTTCTGCCCATTTCAGGAGAGGCTGCAAATTCTTTCACACTATTTCTAGACGAAAGGATATAACGCAACAAATGACTATTGATTTAGTATTAAAAATATGTTCTTTTAATTCAATTGGATCTTGTGACTCCATTTCTCATTACAGGAATGGTGATCTGACAAAGCAACCATTTGTTGCTTTCAATTAGGCATCCAGTTCCTTTGCAGAAAGCAAGAAACTGCTGTATCTTTGTTCCTGATCATGGCAAACAGAAGCCTTTCTGGAGACACCTGGATGGGACGCCAGTCCATCACAGGGCACACACACTCAAGCACACAGGGAAAATTAAGAGATGTCAGTCAACCTAGCAAGCATAACTTCAATCATCTCAGCAAACATAACTTTTAAAGGGAGGAAGAAACCAAAGTACCCTGGCAAAAACCCCCTTAAACATGGGGAGAACATACAGTATGAACTCCATGTAGAAGGCATCCGAGCGAGGAACTACTGTAATCCAAGACCTGGTTGCACCTTCACAGACAGCTGTGTTTCTTTGTTCTGCATTTGTCAGCTGCCCAGCTTCTATGCTGCCCTATTAAACGTTATAAATACAAATAGAAATAATCTATTTGTCTGCACATAGTTATCAAAAACTGCTAGTTTATTTAACCATCATTAATGGATTATCTTCTGCAGAAGAGCTGTCCATGAGAACCTCACAGTAGAAACGTCTTTGAAACTAAGAATCCATTCATCTCACATTGTGCCCTTATAGAGGCCGGACTTTAATGACATTCACCTCCGACAAAGAGTTTTTAGAGGGAATGTCCAGGTAGTTGGTGTCATTACTTGTTATTATGAAGACTATTGATGAAGAGTTGAAAGTCACTTTCTTCTTCGGCCTTTCCCCTACTTTCTGGGACACGACGATAGGCCTGATCGGCTTCTCCACTCGGGCAATTGGCCTGTCCTTGATTGACCTCCGGATACTCACCAGACGAGCACACAGGAGCCGTAAAAGGCACCGTCGGAACTACAGGACAAAGCAGGATAATGAGAGTTTGCAAAGTTTCTGTTGCAGAGTTGCATTTCACCCCCCTTCTAGCATGTCGGCTGATGGAATCGGTGACAAGTAAGGAAACTGATAACATGGAAAGGGTATCCCTGGTAGTCTTTACTCAACTCAGACATACCCAGCAATGTTTTTTAGTCAGACAACTAGTTTGCTAATTGTATTGGTTTTGTTTACACAATACCTGATTTACATACAGTATCAGGCTCTGGATTCTTATTTTGTGTTATGTACTACAGATTGTATGTATTCTTCTTTGTATAGGATATCAATGACCACATTTCTAATCAGCCACAGACTTTTCATACTTAAGTACTTGTTCTGCTGCAACAATTTACAAACAGGTAACAGATAAAGTATTAGAGCAACACTTGCAATGCATCTAATTTATCCCTTAATGAATGACACACTACAGTACAGTATGATTGCTAACAAAGAAATGTGAATGTAATGTTGTTTTAACTGATACATTTGCTATTTGTCGCAAACACATCCAATTATCTAGCATATGCTGAGTTGCAAAAAACAACTTACCTTCCTGCTCATGAAAATATAGATTACTGGGTTGTACGCTGTACTAGATTTGGCAAAAAAGGAAGGGATGATAGCTACTGTTGGTGTGACAATGTCTTTTTTACCAAAGGCTACTAACATAGACACCACAGCATAAGGGGTCCAGCAGATGAGAAAGGTAGAGATCATTAGCAGGAACATCTTTGCCACTTTTTTCTCATAGCGGAGGATTTTGATGATCTGAACTGTTTGAAGGTCTTGGATGGATCGGAGCTGCAAAAGAAAACATCTCCATTTTTAAAAGATGGACTGACATTTGAATAAAGGCATCTTCTTCCATATTTTTAGAAAGGAAAATAAAACATCATAGAAAGAAACTAACAAGATTGAATACCAAAAATAATCATAATGTATGAAAATCAATGTCAATATGTCACTTCAACAATGTAAATTCAGTTTATATTTTAATCCCTCACTGACAAGGATTATTATTATAGAAAAAATGATTATTCTCTATAATTCTAACTATAGAATAAATTGTATTCTCAATTATTATAGAGAACATACTATTTTCATTATTATTATTGAAAGCTATGATGGTACTATGTATATTTTGAATATCAAAATGCTGTGGAACACAATCTTATTTTATTTATAATTACTGTATATGTAATTAATGTTATATGAGAACTTAAATTAGTTGTATTTTTAAGATGTTGCCTGCGACTAGCATTAACCATTTCATTCAGAGCCATGGATGAAGTGGGACTGGACTTTGATTTATGAAAGGAAAACGTTTTTTTTTTGCTCAAGATTATACTGTACGTAACAAATTCATAGAAGTTGAATCACTCCTAAAATCAATGTGACAAAGATAACACTAATGAGGATTAAGGATAGAGGATATTGTTATTTTTCAGGGATTACTGCTTTGCCTGGTGACTAAACCTCAAGCAAATAAAAGAATTTCTGATACTAAATCAATCTATGCATTAAGGAATCGATTTGATTCCAAATTAATAAAATACTTCACTAGACTCACTGTTCACTTCAGTATCAATAACTATCTTTAGAAAGCAACTCTAGTGTACTGTAAGTCAAAATCATTGCGAGTCTCTGTTTCCGTTTCCTATGAAGAAATCATATCCTGCACAAAATCACTGTTAAAGTATATGAAACTATGCAGTACAATATATACTTTTGTTCATTGACAACTGAATTGTTTAGAATAAAAGTGAAAGTGTTTCGAGTGGAAGTTATGTATTTACGAGCACAAATATGATCTCTCTAAAATAATGTACAACTTTAAATGACTTATTTTAACTTATATTTAAAGAAAATGAATGTATAAGTTTAATGTATAAGTCAATTTTTCAACACTGTGTTAAATGGACAACCCAGGCTCCTTACCATTCTCACTGTGTATAAAATGTGTCCATAACAATATGCCATAATCCCAACAGGCACGAAGAGACAGCTCAGGAAGAAAAAGAGAATGAAGGAGGCGTCGTTGGGGTCCTTGGAACCCCAGTCCACAGAGCAGCCCAGTCTGTGCCTCTCCAGAGTGTACCTGTTCCATCCTATCAGAGGCGCCCCCGTCCAGGCCAGCGAGTAGAGCCAGATGTAAGCGATGGCTTTCCAGGACCATGTGAAGTCAATGACCTTGGCGTGGACAACTCTGATGTAGCGCTCATACGCAAGAACAGTCAGTGTCATAATGGATACGATTCCTGTGAGGAAAAACAAAGCTTAGCAAGAAGCCGTACACAAGGATCGCCAAGATATGTTTATATTTGGTTAAACAGCACTGAAACAGAAAAGCACTGCTTCATTATATTGGCGCTGAAGAAAGTCGATCTGACAGTATCCGCAATCTGAATCTTTAATCTTCACAGCAAACCTACGGAGTAAAACCCCTTTTGAAGTATAAATATTTCATGTGCTGAAGAAGAAAAAACCCAAATCGAGACTTGGGCATTTTTATTCTTTCATTTTACCCAAATAAGATTGCAAACATGGAATATAAAATGGATCATAATTTGCACTGTAGTATTAGGTATTAAAAATAAATTGTGCCTGCAACTTGCCTTGACTTTCTAAATAGGATAGAATTGTTACTTTTGAAACCAAAAGCAGACATTGCAGAAATTGGTTTTCCTCTCCTTTGATTAAAAGCATAAAAGCATGAGAAATATGTGGTTTGTTATCAGCCCCATGAATCAGACCTACAGATGTATCTATTCATTATCACTAAACTTATACCTTGTAAGGGATGTGGCAACCTGACATCTATCCCAGAAGCATATGACTACACCTTGAAGGGGATGTCACACACAAAGGGACAACTTAACAGCTCCCTTTGAGTGGTATCCCATACAGTATGTAAGAAAAGCCATACATACAGTATGTAAGCCATAGCTGTACAGTATGTGTACATGCCACATGTAAGAAGAGCCAACAGCAATTGTTCTTCCTATGAAACTCTGTTCTTCTAATGTGTGTACTACAACCAAGACATAATTCAGTAGAACTTTCACTGAATCTGACCTAACATCCACTGAGCTCACTGAGTTAGGTAACCATAATAGACACAATAAAAACAGACTGAGCAGGACTGTCAAGGTAACCAGCAAAATTATTGGTGCACAACAGGATAATCATTCACTGTCATGAACACCCCTTCCACAGTGAATTTGACCTCCTTCAATCTGGTTGTCGATTTCGACTGCCTGGATTCAAGTGCAATAGAACAAAGCCATCTTTTATTCCCAGAGCTATTAACATGCCTTTTTTGCAATTGGCTGTATATTTTGCTTTATTTATATATGTGAACAATATTGTGAACAAGGTAAATGTGTTTCAAGGTTTTATGCTGTGGTATGTCACAGTGTTAGAGCAATTATTGTTTTTTCACAATCTAACGTAGAAGATTGTACAGATGATGAATAAAGGAATTAAATTACCTTTACAGTTTTGGTCAATATAAAAGATCTCAACCAAAAGCAATAGTATAGACAGAATACACATTCAAATTATATGTGTTCTGGACATAGACAATGTACAATATGTTCAAAATATATACGGTACAAGGAACATCTTAGAGTTTTGAATTTCAATAACGTTTCCTTTTACTAATAAAATGTTACATGATGTAACACAGATCAATGATATGTATTCACACCATGAAAATATGACCTTTTTTAGGCCTCAGTAAAAAGGAGTAATGAAGAATTCCAGTTGCATTAAGCACAATACGTGTTAAGCATCACCAGTGAACTCTTCACGGTACACCTTTGCACATAACACTAACGAGTGTTGAGCATTTTACTATATTAACAGAAAATCTTTATACTGTATGTTTAATATTGGTCCTCCCATCACTAAAATATCTTGTTCCTTCTTGTAAAACTTGTGTTTTATTGTCCCATTGTTGCAAAAGACTATTTCATATGCATGAGTGAATGTACTGTATCAAGTGTCATCACCTTTCATAGCTTTCAGTGCAGAAACACTTGTAGTTTGTCAGCTTAACACAATGAAGAAAACGAAATGCATTCTATGATTTCAGTTTTATTGTTAAGTGATAGGACAGTTTTTGTCAGAATGCAAAGTAAATTCATGGATATACAGTCCCTGTGCAGGATGATCCTCAGACATTACTCAGACCTTATTTGGTGGCAGACATTAGAAACAATCTCTACCACAGAAAGCATGTTAATGTCTAATTGCCAGACTTGCAGAATTATTTCTTTCTTGGAAATGTAAGAGCCTTTATCCTTCGCCACTTCCAGAGGAGTTTAAATGTGCCTGACAACTGGGATCTTGGAATTTCATCTATTAAGGTCACCATCAGACAGTGGTGTCTACAGAAAGCTTACTGAGCTCCTAAACAGTGATCTAAACAACAGAACCTTTACTCTCATCTGGTTATCCATGACGAATCGAGGGTTCACAGGTGAGAAACATGCACTAAGACCACATTAATGCACTTGACAAAACTTCACCTTTCATTGAAGGAACATCAGCCAGTATCATGACTGGCATGCTTATGGAATTCAGATAGAGTAATGGTACTCAGTTAGACACTGGTCTATATCATGCATACTTACTGGCCTCATTAACAGCATTAAATGCTGATACATGATGTTCTAATCCTGCATGACAACCTACCAGTTCACAAGGTCAGGGCTACATGCACTACTGTTCACCAACGGTTTGGACAGTTGAATCGTCTGCCTGCAATCATGACTCAGCCTTGAGCCATTAATGCCTTAATATTTGAAGCCTACACTCCATGGTGCAGCAATATGGTTTCAAGATGATAATTACTTGGAAGTGTGCCATTGAGCAGTGGCTAAAAGGAGCACACAGAAGAGTTCTATTACTGTAAAATTATGAGCTTGAAGGACAAAAAGAGCTAAGTGTTTTGAGATGAAAGGTGATTACATGAAGCTGAGAAATTATCTTGTTTCTATACCCTGCGAAGCAACACTTCTTGAAAACCCCTTGTAAATCCATCATCTGAACACTGCACACAATGATCTGAATCCCCATGACCAACACATGGAAGAACATCTTGATAAAAAATCAAGTTCTGGAAGACTGGGAAATCTGACTTTCTTTAATGAAAGCATTCCTCTTACTGTTTTTCAGTCAGGATTGGTCACAAAAGTACACATCTTTGGGGGTGGCAATGCTAATTACAATACTACATTTTCTTCCTGCCATAATCAGAGATCGGCTGATTGCAGGTGAAGAACATGGTGACCTGGGGGCTTCACTGGAAACATAGGGAACAAGCCTATGGGATTAAACTCTGAACACGAAGCAAACCCATTGCACAAACAGGGATAAATTATTCAAGGTCAAATCTGGTACTGTTTTGGTAAAATAATTAATTGTAGCACCTGGAGTGCTTTAAAATGAAAGGCAGATTATATATACCGTATACAGTATTGGTACACGTGGAAAAGATTAATATAAAATGCGGCATGTAATGCATACAAAGAGGAAATATTTATGAAATCTGCCTACATACAGTAGTACAGGTCCTTCTAAGTGTAAGGTTATTCACTATGCATATCAATTCAGATAGTGTTGCTTAAATTTAGTAATAATTGGACGTTTTAAACAACGTAGCTAAACAAGCAGTGATTAATTCCACTGTGAAGAGTAAAAAGAAGCTTAGCTATTACTCCTTGTCGCTTTAATTGATAATATATACACAGTACAGTATGATTTGACTGCGAATTGCGCGTCTTTTTGCAAATGCGATGTATTACGTTTGCTCCAGTAATACAGTTTGACATACTGTACTGTAGTTACAGCCAGTATTTACTGAAAAAGAATACTAAAAGATTATACTTTGTAGTAGATATAGTCATAAGATTCGTTTTAATACCTTATTTTTTCTTTTGCATGGTGTAATGCACATAATTCTTTGCCATTGCAGATATCTGTCGTGTTTTATCTTCTTTAGCGCTGCTATTCAAATTGTCTTAAATATTTTTGTTCACCATACTCAATTGTTTAAGCAGCCGTTTACCAATAGTATTTTTTAGGTGTTTGCTACCTGTGGTGATTATTAAATGAACTTTAAGAAGACATTATCACAGTCGTATACTTTATTTTCCCCGCGTTAGGTTGCTGAACCTCTGCCCTCTTCTTTGTTGAAACATCATAATCTGCTAATCTGTTACATCAGTTTTCATAAACCTGCTGTAAAACTGCTTAGCTATGAGGTCAACCATCAATTTAGCCAGTAGCGGTGATTAATTGTCACCGGTTAAATCAATTAACCGCAAAGGCTCAATTGTTTTTAGAACGACATCAACGTGAAACATAACATTAGCGAATTGTAATAAAGTCTACTGACCGAATAAACTGTTGCTGAACCCGTCCCACACGCACGTTGCCGAATCCCATATCCAGTGTCCCTTAACGCAGGACACAAATGTAAAGTTCACTCCGAAAAGTGAAACCAGTAAGTCGCTTACGCTTATATTAAGCAAGAACAGGTTGGTAGGCGTTCGTAGTCTCTTAAATCTGTAGTAGAGCACTAAAACAATTATATTGTTGCAGAATCCCAGAACAGCAATAGTTCCAACCGTGAATGCGAGAAGTTTGTAGGTACCATTGCTAAACAGGTATTCCTCCACCGTGCCTGTATCGGTCACGGTTTCATTTGCAGGATTCATTGCTTGAAAAACTCCAGGTTTAACGTCTTTTTGTTAAAGTACAACATCTCTCCTCTTGCGGGTAAGCGTGGCCGTGATTTTCGGACCGGTCCTTCAATACCTTCTCTCCTTAATCCGATTAAACCTTGCGTCTTCTGCATGAAGAAATTAGCACAGTTTTACAGAGAAGGGGTGAGGGGTTTAGTATGTCATCCCTTTCAAATTCTTCACGTAGCTGTCACGTGTCACATGAAGTAAATGACAGTCTCAGGGGTAGCGGGTTACTGATGTACAGGATTTTCACTCACAGTAGCCTAGAATTAACGCATATTAATAGGCTAACATTTAAAATGTTGTCTGGTTTCGGTTATGCCTTGTACGATTTTGCTATTTGTCTAGCAAAGTAGTATGAAAACATGAATAAATGTGATATCTATACTTTGGTATTTTTACAACACCCTAACGAAATAATAAAAAATGATCATTCTTATTAAAATTTCTGTAAAGAAACTAGACTTTCCCACAAAATTCTTGGAGAACTTTTCTTAATGGCATACAGTAGGTTAAACTAACTGCCGACAGTCACAGACTAGGTCTTAGACTGAAAATAACGCACTTTTTCAAATACAGTTCTTTATGAAGCGCTACGTACAGTAAATTTTTTCTTTGCACTGACACGTTGCTTTGCGAATCCGGTTTAGTCAAGACCCTTCTCTATATTTTTAGAAGGGAACTGATTGTTTTGAAAAGTATATGTACCAATACATACAGTACACGATATATTTAATTTTAAATTACTGAAGGCACAAGACTTTTCTAAAGACTTTTTACATTCCAGGAAATAGTAGTTTTACACTAAAAGAAGACATATTTCCTGGAGTCACATTTTATATCAGTCTTCAAAGGAAAGTACTCAGTACCTTCAGGTACTTGTTCTGTTTCGGTCTCTCTTTTTGTAACTACTTCTAAGCTACTTAAGACGTTTACTAGCTGTATAGATTTCAAAAAATACTGAAAAATGACAATGCTGAGAATGCTTAGCTGCAGTATCTATGGTGTTTCTAAAATCAATCACATTTGTTTTGTTTGTTTTTTTGTCAATCTGTGATTGCCAACAATCCAGTATAGTTTCAAAAATCAGGGCTAATACTCAATTTACAAAGTAATTTCAATACACTGACTCTTAAGTGAATAATTGTCTTTGTTATTGATGAATGCTGAAAATAAGTTTATGGTTCTCAGATGTTTGGTTTTGTATGCAATCTGAAAAGCCCTATCAATAACCTTTCGATTATTATTGTTATTGAGGATATTTACTGATCACAGTGAACTCACACTTTGTATAGAACATATTAAAGTGTTTCTGCTCACATATGGCCGTGATAGCTCCAGTTTTTCATATGGTGAGATTCTTCCAGATCCAGGCTGTACAGTCTACATACTCCACATAGCAGAAACAAAACCTCATCCATTTTAATGTTCAGCTCATGGCGCCTTCAGTGTGCGTATATATATGACAGGAGTGATTCACTGTAAATGGAAAAAGGTCACTTTCATTACAATGTGCAAATAACTGTCAATTTGCAAATGCTGTCAGTCCTGAAACTCACGAAGGTTTCTGATTAGGCATTTAGAAGGTTTCTTGTTTTGCAGGGCTAGTGTATGGTAAAAAAAAAAATATCACCATTGATTCTTATATTCGTGCTATGTAAAAAGAAAGGAATGAAGAATTATGTCCTTGTTCTGTACCACACACAGCTCTTCAGAGCTCATTGTGACTAAACCAATGAGATTCAAAACAGTAAGGATGGGCCCAAAAACCTTTAGTTCCACTTCCATTGTTTGCCTTCAGACAGTGTTGTTTATTCACATATTCTGAGCAAAAACGTGACGCTTGACCTAAATTTGCAATGACTCCCCTGGCAAGTTGAAAACTGCCACACGCTGAAATTACGCCTACCTTTAAAACAGGAAATAATATTTTATTACTGTACTTAATGCTGTAATTCACACATGTCATTAATTACATATCTCCCTGAAAACTGTTGATCCTTCAAATTAGATATCTAAGATAGGGAATTAAATTAGATGATGAAAATAAAATGGTAGTCTCTCAGTTGTTTACACTTTCATGAAAAACCATGGTGAAGTCAATGCCATCATAATCAGACAATTACTTTCATTTTCTCTACAATATAATTTAAAAAGACTAGAGCAAATAACGATTAGATTAATTTTTATTAATGTCAACATTACATTATCAGTTAAATAATGTAGTTATACTGTCTAGTAGTGTTATAAAGCCTAGGGATTAAATTACTGAATGTTTCAGGGATTCACATGATTTAGAATGTAGTTCAGGTGGGCAGCTGCGTCAGCATGCGTAGGCTGCAAAGGAACAAGTAATAGGTTTATTCCCTGCTGAGAAGAGAAGAAAGGAAACACAATGTTTCGGGTGACAACACACCTGAAGAAGGCTCCACAGCCGAAACGTTGTGTTTCCATTCCTGATTTAGACTGTACCTATTTCTACTGCTGTGTCACTGGATTGAAACTGTGATCAACAGCCATTAGTTCTAATAGGCTGTAACAGGAGCCAGTCCTGGCTCCCGCGAAGCATAGTTCAGCACCCTGTGCAGACGGTATAATCCGGAAGGAAGTGGAGAAGGACTTCAGGGGAAAGTACAGCAGGATTGGACGGGTAGACTGACAGGGGGGCGTGATGACTGTGCTCTGGGGCCTGGCAAGGGCAAACAGTTTCAGACAGTCCATCTCCCAATGCTGAGCCAGTAATAGTGGGAGCGCCAGCCTTAAATAAAGACGGACAAACAGGGGGCAGGTGCACGTAATCAACTTAAATGCGAAAGGGTCAGAGCACCCATAAGAGGATGGATTACAATCGTGACACCTCCTGGATGTGAAGGCTCTCGAAGGAGTTTCTCTTCTTCCATCTTGGCCATGGCATTTGCACAACAGGAGGACAGAAGAAGTTTTTCAATATATCAGTACAGGTAAACATGAAGAAATGCAATATTGATATCCGCTCCTTGGAAATTGCGACCCTTGACAGAAACAAGAAGAGGAAGAAACCTGGAAAGGAGCCCAGCATGTGTCAGAACGAGGAAAGAGGAAGCGAAACTAAAGGGCCTTCTTAAAAGCAAGGAATGTCTGAAAAACATGTTTCAAGCTGCCTCTGCAACATTTCCCTTTTATGTCTATGAATAACAAGGATCAGGGGCACAGAGCATGTTACAGAACTGGTTATTACCCAAACCCCCGAATCCTAGACAATGTTTCCTGATGTAGCGGAGTTTCCTGCTGTCTAGGAAGTGGAGCAATATGTACTCAGAGCCCATGAGGGATCCTGACTGAATCAACACACAGTATATCACTGGATAAGTTTGTAGGTAAAGCCGGATGAGACCAAAAAGGGCAAGTTAAGGATCTGGTTTCGATTTTTTCTTCTTGCTCTTTATTCTCTTAATAGTTCTAATGTCCTTTGTTCATCGAAGACACTGTTTTCTCTTCGCCATTGCTTTTGGCCTGTGATAGGAATGACTAATGATCCTATTTTGCTATCTGTTTAGATGTGTTGCATCTTATTGTGACGGTCTAAAAGAAGGAACATTCAAACTTGAACAGACAAGACTTCATAATACCATTATGGGAAGGAAACATTGTGTAATGGGTAAAACAGAGCTTGACAGGCAAAAATATATACTGAATTCTAATAATATGTATATGATTTATATTTGGTAGAAAAAAGGAAGTTTTGTGGTTGAGAGATTAAACACACATCCAATATCTACTACATCAGATTAAGAAATAAAATGTTTAAGCACTGTAGATACCAGAAACTGGATGTTCTTTTTTTATTTCGATCTGTTGAGTGCAGTATAAGTTTAATAACAACATTCATATCTGTATCCAGAATAATATCAAACTCAGTGAAGTCCTTTGAGGTTTTAGTCAGGAGGTTACAAAAGTGGTTTGAATGTCATTAGGGTGTAAATTAAAACAAACATTTTTACCTGAAATATACATTTTCAAATATTACATACTGTGATTGATTTCGCTTGATTTGCAGTGTGAGTTTCATATGATATCCATGCTTCTACATCTTCAAACCTACATAAGACATTTAAACAGAATATATTCTGAATAATTAAATCCTTTCCTCCTTATAATGAAAATTCAGATAGTCACAGAAAGTGGGCTTGTGCTTATGGATGTTGCAGTCATTGCCTAAAGAAGTAGGTCAATGCAAATAAATAAGATTTTTTTAGATTTAGTCTTTAACATTCTGCTCATATTTACATGGGTTGAATCAAATAAATAATTTCTTCTCCTGCATTAAAGCTTTTATAAAACTATACAGTGAAAACTAACTAGAACTGTCTTATATGTAAAGGTAATTTGGAACAAAGTATCAATACTTTAAAAACTAATTATAATCCAGTTTTAGGTTTCTATTCAACAGGCTGTGTTGTGCTCTCTTCAAATCTTCCTTTCACTTGCATACAGCTACAATGAAATCCTGTATGACACCAGTGCTAAGTAACTAAATCTATTTCTTAATCAAGTGAGTAATTGATCAAGGTACTGTAATTGCCTGAAATAATGAAGGTTGAGGTTTGTCTTCATTACAGCACTTTGCTCTGCAAAGTGAAAGAACTCTACATTCTGTAATGCTTGTCAAAGATGAATCCAAATAATACAGTACATGCTTATTTTAAATCAATAAGATACATTAATGTTTAGTTACTGAATATTAGTAAACAGCAAAAGATGTGACTATATTCACATACAGTGTTTGAAACATCCAGTTTATATTATCTGTGGGTCATCCATCCATTTTCTAACTCCTTTATCTAATACAGTGTCGTGGGGGAGATAGTGTCTTCACTGGTGAGCTATGGGTGCAAGGCAGGGTACACCCAGGACAGGAAGACAGTCCATCACAGGGCATACAAAGACACAGACACACACTCACATCAGAGACAATTTTTCCAAAAACCAAATCAGTATGTCTTGTTTATGACTATGGGAGAAGCCAGAGAAAATCTCTGGGTCGTGGAATAAGTGAAAATTTATCATTGCCAAAGGAATCCCAATTATAAATTATTTACATTTATAGTTACAACTGTTGTTTAGTTTAATCTTGTGTGAAAGTTTATGTTATAGAACCTTGATTTGGCTTTGGACTTTA